AAAGGAAGGACAGATCATCCACCGCCCCGGTGGGGAGGACAGACAATTACCAGTAGGGGCAGACATTGCTCTGGTGTCGGGGTGTGCACGGGTTCAGGGAAGGGGTAAAAAAAAAAAAAAAAATGAAATGAGAACATGAAGCTGGGGAGGGAGAGGAGGGAGGGCGGAGACCCCAGTTCCCGTCCTGTCCTCCAGGTGGTAGCTTTTCAAGTCTCTTAAAGTCGGTCGATGTCGGACCTCAGACTTTTGTCATGTGGCGTCCCACAGGGTACAGCTTTGGGCTCCCTGTTGTTCTCCCTTTGAGCTGCAATGCTGCCATCTAGTGGCGTTTACTTTCATATACAGCTGTTTATATGTAGTGTAATGAAGTTAAGTGCCGCCTTAAAGCAGTGTTTCTCAGTTATTTTCTGCCATGCACCCCCTAGAGGACAGAAGTTTTTTCACTCCCCCAAATTGAAATACTATTAAGGGCCTGGTAATATTTATTTTTTTATCTGTTCAAACCACTGTATGAGTTCCTGACACCAACATTCTGCATACATACATTCAAATAGATGAATAAAATGAGCTGCAATGCTGCCATCTAGTGACTTTCACTTTCATATACAGCCGTTTTTCCCCCAAAACTATTTTTTGGTCACACATCATTCGGGCAAACCCAGGCATCGTGTTATTGGGTTTTCATTATCGGATGAAAATCCAATATCGATTCATACAGATATTACACAATTATGCTAATATTTGATAATATTATTATCGGCTAGTCCGTGTAAACAAACCTCTGTGCCTGTGTTTATTTTTGACCGTCTCTGTCTGTGATTGTCCAGCGTCTGTCTTCCGTCTTGCATCACTTTATTGAAGATGAATAATTTTTGTGTTGTTGTTTTTTCCTGCCTCTAACGCAGCCTACATGTCTTGTGCGTGTCTGTCTCCTATTTGCAGAGGAGGGCATCAATCACGAGTGCAAGCTGTGTAACCAGATGTTTGACTCACCTGCCAAGCTGCTCTGCCACCTGATAGAGCACAGCTTCGAAGGCATGGGTGGTACCTTCAAGTGTCCCGTCTGCTTCACAGGTGAGAGACAGACAGACAGACGGAGAGACAGACAGACAGACAGACACAGGTTCACGTTCAAGGACACAGTCAGGACTCAGTGATGTTCTTTATTTGTGTTTGGTTCCTTAGAAACGTGTAGAAGTTTAGTTTGTTCTGACTTTTCTAATCGTCGTTTTGAACAGATGTTCAAAAAAGAAATGAAAACTGCAAGTATTAACAAGTATTCACTAGAGGTGTATACTGTCAAGAACCTGGCGATACGATACGATACGTATCGCGATACATGCGCAATGATACAATATATTGCGATACTATAGTTACAACGATAAATTGAGTTTTTTCGTATGATATATTGCGATACGATAGTTACAACGATAAATTGAGTTTTTGTTTTTGTTTTTTTCGCCAATGTAACTGTAACAAAATGAACCAACACCAGATAAAAAATCAATACAATGATGGAGGAGATTGTTACGTTATTAGGAAACTAAATATTCTGATTTATCGGTGTATCGATATTTAGGAACGTTGATTTTTCGTGATTATTCACGATTAACTGTCACCAGGCGATTAAGCCGTTTGAAATCTGTGATCGTTGTGCGACCACATTAATGTGTATAAATATAAAATGTTTAAATAATGCATATTAAAACAGTCATTTAGATTTAATAAGAGGGCGGAGCTTAACAACAGTGGGCTTTACTTTTTGAAGTACTGTAGTACATTTAAAGGTAAACCTATTCTAAAAGGACTTCCTGTACTCGTGTTGGTAGAACTGCACTGTTGGGTTGATGGAGGTGGGGGGGTGGAGGTGGAGGTGCAGCTCCTCCGCCCACATCATCCCTGGTACCTGTGGAGTCGATCCTCTCTCTGGGTTCCTCACGTCATGATACATGGAGATGATGTTCTCTAACGGCTCTGAGGTTCTGGTGCCGTGGAACAGGAACATTAAGAACACATTAGGAATATTCATTGATTTGACGTTCCTGACTGTGGGAGTAAAACTGCAGCGGGGCGTCGGAGTACGTCGGAGAATGCTGGATGACCAAATTAGACTTTCGGTGTTCAGCCATGTCTCGGAGATTTCACCTGCAGCTCCGTCCCTCCCTCCTCCCTCCCTCCTTCCTGTCACTCCATCTCCTTCTTTTCCTCCCTCCCTCCCTCCCTCCCTCCTGTCACTCCATCTCCTTCTTTTCCTCCCGCCCTCGCTCAGTTGTGGAGTTTGTCTTCCATCGTGTGCCTCACCCCCAGGTACTCAGCCAGGCTTTAAACTTTAACTCTATTCCTGGGTGGCGTATGAATTAGTAAGATGGGCGCCGCTCCTGTGGGGAGGAGGGGCTTAATAATTCAACACATACACACTCACACAGAGAGAAATCCAAAAGTTTACCGAAACAAAGGAGACAAAGAAAAAAAAAGTGTATAAGACAAGTTTGAAAAAAAAAAATAATTTATTGATAAATATCAGCAGGTCTGCGGAGGATTGTCCTGCTCCTCTGCTCCTCTTCCTCCGCTCCCGTACTCCCTCAGTTCCCATCAAGCCTACGTTTGCGCTGTGTGTTTAGTGGTAATTGGAAGTAGGCTACGGCTCTAGACGCATTTTTCTGTCTGAACCTATTAGCTGGAGGGAAAAGAAAAGAACTCTCCAGATTTGACCTGAACAACGAAGACGTTCAGACTCCGGGTTTAGAACCGAGATCTTCATTTGGAACCGGCAGCAGTTAGAGCTGAGACTCCGGACTAGGGATGTACAATATTAACCTTTTCCGATATCCAATATGCTGATATCGTCAAAACACTTAATTTCCAATTCCGATATCAACCCATACCGATATAGGCCTGGTAATATTTATTTATTTATCTGTTCAAACCACTGTATGAGTTGCTGGCGCCAACATTCTACAGACAATCCAAAGATTATTAAAATAGATTAATAAAGTGAGCTACAATGCTGCCATCTAGTGGCTTTTACTTTCATCTACAGCGTTTTTTCCCCAAAACTATTTTTAAGGGCACACGTGATTTGGCAAAACCCAGGCATTACATGATGTGTTTACATGTATTTAAAAAATGAAACATTTTCCCATGATGCACTCCGAGTGTGTAACGTCCACTGTGTTTGTTCTTCTCCCAGTCTTCGTTCAGGCCAACAAGCTGCAGCAGCACATTTTCGCCGTTCACGGTCAGGAGGACAAGATCTACGACTGTTCCCAGTGTCCACAGAAGTTCTTCTTCCAGACAGAGCTACAGGTAGAAGAACATCTTCATTTTCTCATCTCTCTCTCTTTGCTGTTTGTTAAGGTTTGTCCTGAAATGTCTCCAACATATGGAATGTTACGGTCGTGTTACGTTAGCCTCCGTGGATTAGCTTCCGTCGGAACCAAAAAGAAAACTTGTTTGTTCCTCCTCTCCTGACTTCTACTGACTACTTCCCCTCACGTCCGTCCCGTCCCACCCTCAGTCTCCTCCTCCAGTCTGCTCCTTCCATCTCTCCTCGCGGGTTCTAAGCGGGGTTCTGGCATGCTTCAGGTCATTAGGGTCCAGACACCTTTGAAGGTGCGTCTGTTTGCGTGAGGCGGGAAGGTGAGAGGCGATAAGTCACTCAAGAGTGGGTCCTGGAGCAGCTGTGGTCAGGGCCGTCCTCTTCCATCTTTTGTCCTGCGTTGGCAGCGGACCGGTGACCTGTGAGGTCTACAGGTCAAACGTCAGTCCTGCGAGCTGTGAAATATGGAGCTGAAGTAAAATCAAGAGGAAACGCTTCGAAATCGGCAACGTTTTTTTTTTTCCATTGAGAGTTTGAAGAAGTAATGAAACCAATCTTCCCAGGATGCATCTTGATTTAAAGACTTATTGACTCTGTCAAAGCGGACAGGTGTGACTCGGTGTGTCGGTGAAGAGTGATCAACACGTCTCATTAGCATCTACCGGTTGTTGATTAACGATCGGCGGCGGCGCTCAGAGAATCTGGTCCATTCGTCTCGACGGAGGACGGCGTCCTCATCACTGCTTCTCTTATAAGAGAGATTAGAGTGTTGGTGCCCAATGTAGGGGGCGCTGAGCTATTTGCAGGGCAGATAAAGAGGGGTTGGGTAGGAGGGTAATTACCAGTATAAAAGAGTAAACACTGAGGTAGAAATGTGAAGAAAATGAAGAAAAAACTGCGTTAAAGATTCAGAGGTTTATTAACTGACGCAGACGAAAAACAGGCAGATGCTTAAAAATTTAATAGTTACAATTTGATTAGGACACACACACACTCACACACACACGTAGCTTTGACATCCGGCCAAAACAGGGTGGGCATATGGCTGGACAGTCCATTTAACAGCAGGGCGAGCGCTGGACCCTGTCGGTTAATGTCCACCCACAGGCCTCACTCACACACACACAAACAAACACACACACACACACACACACTCACCCGTCTCCCCCACACTCCATCCATCTCCGGTGACAGCCGTCCTGACCACTGACCAGGTCACAGCCACTGGTCAGCTGCTGAGGTCACTTTGGTTTTAAAATATCGTGTGTTTGACGTCGCAGCCTCGGAGTCGCTTATCATCGCTGCGATCTGACGGTCGGTTTTATTTTGACTTCATTATACAGCTGTTTGAAACGTTGTTCAGACAACCTCAAAAAAAAAAAAAGCTAGCACTGGTACGGTCATGTTAGCTCTGGTACGGCCCGATATTAGCATAATTAAGTAATATCTGTAAGAATTATCGTTTTTTCCTCCGATGATGAAAACCCGACAACGTAATGCCTGGGTTTCCCCAAAATGATGTGTGCCCTAAAAATAGTTTTGGGGAAAAACGGCTGTATGTGAAAGTAAAAGCCACTAGATGGCAGCATTGCAGCTCGTTTTATTAATCTATTTTAATAATCGGGGGATTGTATGGAGAATGATAAATAAATATTACCAGACCTGTATCGGTATCGGTTGATGTCGGAATCATAAATTTAATGTTCGTAATGACAATATCGGATATCAGCGAAAGGTTAATATCACCCTAGTAATAATACCAAGTGGTGCTTTGGCCATTGTCATTGGTGTGGAACCCCAGGGTTCACCTCCTGGGCAAGTTTCGAATCCCGGTTAGGGCGGTTGGTACCTTCCAGTGGACTCACCACCCGCAGGAAGGTTTGGGGGGGTTGGTACAGTGCAGGGTGATTTGGGACTGCTGCCCCTGCGACCTGGTAACGGATAAGCGGAAGAAAATGGATGGATGGATGGATGGATAATAATACCAAACCCATACGACGTCCACCCACGTCAGTGATGAGAAGCAGAACTCTGGACCAGTCTCAGCCGCTGGTCCTGGTGAGTCCAGTCCTGGTGTTTTTCACTTCAGCTCCTGGTTCTTCTGCTGTTTTAGCTCTTTGGCTTCTGCAGCGTGGACTGATCCATCCTGTTACTCTTTGGTCGCGGCCCAAGAGTGTGTGTGCTGTGAAAACTTGCAGTCTGAGTCCGACCTGCTGCAGCTCCCCCGTTGCCCCATGGGAAGTCTCTCTAAGTGGGCTAGACAGAACGGCTGACTGAGGGAGATGGAGCGCTGCAGCCACAGAGGTTAATGCTACTGCTAGCTGCTATCACCGGCACCAGTCGGAGTGTGTGTGTGTGTGTGTGTGTCATCTTACTAACGTTGTGGGGACCTGCCCTTGTTCTCACTGTCACATTATGCAGCTCTCTCTCTCTCTCTCTCCCTCTCTCTCTGCCTGTGTCTCTCTACCCTAACGTGAAGACAGCTTCACTCGTCTGACGCTGCGCAGAGGTTTGACGTGTGTTTTCGGCCGATTGTGCACATTTCAGATTTGTAGCCAACAGTTCTAAGAACTTTTTTTTTTTTAAGTGTTTGTGTCGGTGTTCAAACCCTGGTTTGGGTACAGGTGGAGGGACAGAGGGTGCTCTGAAATAGTTTTCAATACCATCGTCCAAAGAAAGAAAGAAAGAGTAACTCTGGTTTGGGATGATGGAGGACCAGGAACTGTTTGTCCACTGGTGTCTTCCATGATGTCACAAAATATCAAAATAACTGAGTTAGCTAATGGACTGAACAACCGCCGTTTACAGAGAGAGTGTCACAAAATATCAAAAGTACCATAACTGAGTTAGCTAATGGACTGAACAACCGCCGTTTACAGAGAGAACCTGGCAATACGTTATGTATCACGATACAGGAGCAACAATACGATATATTGCGATACGACGAAATATTGAGAGTCTTTTTAAACAATTGAATTGTCAGAAAAAATAAAAATAAAATAAAAATATCACTGTTAATTGTTATTAAAATAATCCATACGGTGATGGAGGATATTGATACGATATCATGAAACAAGATATCGCGATATTTCAGCGCATCCATATTTTCTGTTTTCAGTCCTAGTAAAATCGGTGATTTTCTCTATGGAGTTCTGTACAAAGACAGTCAGACTTGAACGTCCTGTTGGACAGGTGTGTGTGATGGACACGCTCCTGTGGAGACGCTGTCCTCCGTCCACCTCACTCTGGGACCGTAGGACGTTGAGACGCCTCTCCTTCTCTGTCTCTGTTTTCCCTCCTCACCCAGGGGTGACGGCGGCGCTGACACGTCACTGCATCACCTCGTCTCCCCCCTGACTGCAGCGCCTCATTCTCTCACCGTTACGTCTCCCGTCCGTCCTGTAGGGGGCAGTTAGGTCGGTCGGTCGAGCAGCTCAGTTTTTCACTCTTTCTCTCTCTCTCTCTCTTTGCTGTTTTCTTCTCCTCTCCCCCCGACTCCCCCATCTGTCCCAGAAGAACCAGCCCCTATGCATATTTTAGCCCCTCTCCTCTCTTCCTCTCTTCAGTGCCTCCCTCTCCCCAGTGCACCATAAATAGTGCAGACGTAAGCTGGTAAATAAGAGATGTTTGTGTGTGTGTGTGTGTGTGTGTGTGTGTGTGTAAATAAGAAATGTTTTGGCCCTCATCACTGAGGCCCTTCTCTCTCTGTTTTTACTCCCAGACTTCACACGTGTCTGTTTCTCCTTTTCCTTCCTTCCTTCCTTCCCTCCTTCTTTCCTTCCTTCTTTCCTTCCTTCCTTCCTTCCCTCCTTCTTTCCTTCCTTCTTTCCTTCCTTCCTTCTTTTCTTCCTTCCTTCCTTCCCTCCTTCCTTCCTTTTTTCCTTCCTTCCTTCCCTCCTTCCTACCTTCTTTCTTTCCTTCCTTCCTTCCTTCCTTCTTTCCTTACTTCCTTCCTTCCCTCCTTCCTTCCTTCCTTCTTTCCTTCCTTCTTTCCTTCCTTCCTTCCCTCCTTCCTTCCCTCCCTCCTTCCTTCCTTCCTTCCTTCCTTCATTCCTTCCTTCCTTCCTTCCTTCCTCCCTTCCTTCCTTCCTTCCTTCCTTCCTTTTTTCCTTCCTTCCTTCCCTCCTTCCTACCTTCTTTCTTTCCTTCCTTCCTTCCTTCCTTCATTCCTTCCTTCCTTCCTTCCCTCCTTCCTTCATTCCTTCCTTCCCTCATTCCTTCCTTCCTTCCTTCCCTCCTTCTTTCCTTCCTTCCTTCTTTCCTTCCTTCTTTCCTTCCTTCCTTCTTTTCTTCCTTCCTTCCTTCCCTCCTTCCTTCTTTCCTTCCTTCCTTCCCTCCCTCCTTCCTTCCTTCCTTCCTTCCAGCATTCCAGTAGAAAAGGAAGGAGGGAATCCTTCCTTTTCTAATGCTGTTCCCTTTTCGTTCACCTCCCTTCTTACCCTCCTTTCTTTCCTCCCTCCTCCTTCTCTCTCTGTCTCTCCCCTCCTTGTCGCTCCCTTACTTCCTCCTTCCTTGTGTCCTATCCACTTTCCTTCCTCTCTTTACTTCCTTACCACCAGCCCTCCTTCTGTCTCTCCTTTATTTAATTTCTTCCATCTTTTTCCTCCTTCACGTCAGTCCCTCCTCTTGTCTCCCCTCCTCCCTTCCTCCCTCACCCGTTCTTTTGTTTCCTCTCCAGACTCCGACTCACTTCCTTCCCGTCCTTCTTTTCTGCCTTTCCTCAACTTTTTTTCATTCACTCCTTTCCTTCCTTTCTTGCTTCCTTTCTCCTCCAACAGATACAGTGGCTGACTCCTCCCCCCTCTGCCTCCCCCCTTCTTCTTTCATACCCCCCCTGTCTCTCTCCACCTCTCACTCTCCTTCTCTCCCCCGTTACTCCACCTGGCAGACTTCTTCATCTTCACATTTTTCTTCAGCCTCCAGGGGGAGCTATCCTGCAGCCTCTGCCCTCAATGTTTCCTTCCACTCCTTCCTTCATCCATCACCT